CGTTTAAGTGAGAAGGTGCCTGGCAGAAAACCAAACAGTGAGTGCCCGGGGCGACGGAAACGCGGCGAGCACAAGCACAGTTCGGGCTCACAACGGAAAAGGCAGAGGCAGCGAGCGAGCGCGCCTTTTGGCATCATCAGGCGCATGCCGCACCTCTCCTTCTCCAAGCTCAGGCCGGGCCTCAGCCGAGGCCCAGCTGTGCCGCCAGACCGGCGGCTCCTCGGCCCGAACCGCTAAGCGGTCAAGGCCGAAAAAAGGAAAAGGAAAATACGAAGGGCCAGGGAGGGCCTGGGAGGGAAGGGCCCGAGAGAGAAACTTGAGCCCCAAAGGGGCCGCGGAGGGGGAAAGGGACAGAGAGCAGGAGAGACCCTTCCCCCTCACCAGGCACTTACTCCCTGAAACCCTACGTTTTACGCATGCTCAAACTCTCACGTTTAAGTGAGAAGGTGCCTGGCAGAAAACCAAACAGTGAGTGCCCGGGGCGACGGAAACGCGGCGAGCACAAGCACAGTTCGGGCTCACAACGGAAAAGGCAGAGGCAGCGAGCGAGCGCGCCTTTTGGCATCATCAGGCGCATGCCGCACCTCTCCTTCTCCAAGCTCAGGCCGGGCCTCAGCCGAGGCCCAGCTGTGCCGCCAGACCGGCGGCTCCTCGGCCACCCAGCTCCTCTCACCCCCTCGGCGCCCGTGACTTGCGGGTGGTGCCGAACAGGGCTCACAGCTGGGCGCCTCGCTGCACAGCGGGTGCCAGCACTGGCGGAGCACCAGCCGGCTTCCTCAACCTCTCCTCGGGGACCGCACTGGCGGGACGCCCCAGCCACCTCCGCCTCTCCTCGGCCACCCAGCTCCTCATGCCCCCTCGGCGCCCGTGACTTGCGGGTGGTGCCGACCGGGGCTCACAGCTGGGCACCTCGTTGCCCAGCGCGTGCAAGCGTCGGCGGGGCACCCGCCGACTTCCTCCACCTCTCCTCGGGGACCGCGCTGGCGGGACGCCCCGGCCACCTCCGCCTCTCCTCGGGGACCGCACTGGCGGGACGCCCCGGCCCTCGGCCTCCTCACCTCCGCCCGCCCCTCCGGCACCCGTGACTTGCGTGTGGTGCCGACTGGGGCTGGCAGCCCTCCTCCACATCACTTACATACATCGATCCAGCGGGTCGCCACTGCCCCCAGGCCGCTGCCCCAGGACTGCGCACAATCCAGCCACGGCTCCTCCAGTGTTCACCCGCCTTAGCTCTAAGCTCGGACTCCTGCTACTGTCTTCAGGCTCCCGGCTCCTCCTTCGCACCCGCATCCGGTCCGCCTCCCGACACGCCCGCCTTATATCCCACGTGCAGGGTCGCAACCGACTTCGCCATCGCCTCCGACACTCCGGAGGCGTCCTCATTTGCCTCCCACAGATACTGGTGAAAAGCTCCACTGTTCCACCGTCCCCATCGCTTGACCAGCTCCGTGTCCTGAAAGCAATGGTACAAGGCCGTCGCTCCCCCAATACGGAGCGAATGACTCTTGAACCTGTCAGGCGGGTAGCCCTCCAACGCTGCTGCCTTCTGAAGTAATCCCTGGATGCGCCCCCGCGTGATCGGGCTGCCGTCTTCCCACCTCGCCAGAGGTAGATGTGCCTCTTTGCCCACGATACGGCTCGGGAACCAGTTGTTGTAGCACTCCGCCGCCCACACCGGGCAGATGCCGTGCGGGTCGTTCGACCGGAAGTGGTTCCTCGCCTGCCCTGCTCCCTTCTGGTCCGCCTTCGAAGCCTTAGACCACAGCACCACCTCGTCCGCGGCGGCGAAGTGAATCACCTGCTCGCCTTTGCACTTCGGGGAAATATCCAGCCCGGTCAAGACCTTCTTCAAATCCCAATGCCCCGAGCGAGCATACTCGCCGATCCGCATCATGAAGAAGAAAGCGAAGATCACGCAGAAGTACAAGGCGGCGTCGTCCGCACACAGGTCCGGCTTCAGCATATCTCGTATCCTCCTCAGCATCTTGGTCGTCACTGGGAGCTTCCTCTTCCCAGGACCTTGCCAATTCTCTATCCCATTCAACGCCATCCACAGTCGCGGCTTACCCGCCAAGGGGTCGGGCTCACCCAGCATCACATGATGTGAGCGGATCCCCAGCAACTTCGACCGTATCGTGCCGTGCGACCGCTTCAGGCTGTTGTACAGGTGCACCATGAACAGCAGCAGCTCCTCCTCATCCTGGTGACGCTCCTCGCGAGTCTCCCCATGCAGGATGGGCGATTTCCTGCGGATGCGACAGAACGTCGTCCACTGCCTCCAGGCAACCCCATAGGTCGCCTTCGTCCCCTTGGCCACCGAGGCCACCACCGCAGCATCCACCAACTTCAGGAGCTCTGGCGCGTACCCCTCATCCGCGCGCCCGCCGGCACGCCTGGAGTCCTCCCTGGCGATCTGCCTCAGCTGACGTTCGAGCCCTTCACTGCCCTGTCCGCTGCCTGCTGCCGCTTCCAGGTACCGGCTCACCGCCTCCGGGTCGATATCTTCGGACGGTCCAGCCTCTGGTGCCGCACGCCATGCCACCTCCTCACGCTCGCACTCCTCTCCTCCCCCGCGCCCCGGGGGGGCCGCGACGGCACGCCCCGCCTCGGCTGCCCTCTGCCTTGCCGACAGCCGGTCATTGGCCATCGAGATGGGGTAGGTCTTGTTGCACATCGGGCAGCGCGTGTCCCGGCCCTCACCCTGCACACCGCAATACTCGCACCACGCATAGTGGGCGTCGGGGCCGCCTCCTGGGAAAGGCACTGGCCGACGTGCTTCAACCTCCTCCTCTGATTCCTCGTAGTCCCCCTCCGAGTAGGACTCGGGCGAGTTGAGGTCCCTTACAGCCTCGGCAGCACGTGCAGGTCCACCAGGCCTGAGCGGGTCCTCCTCCGCTCGGTGGCCCGGGGGCTGTGGCCGCCCCTCCGACCCACCGGGCCCTCTCGACCCCCCGGGAGGGGGTACCCAACTTCCTGGTTGGGGCAGCGGCTCGCGGTCGGTCCGCCTTCCTGGCTGCGGGAGTGGCTCTCGACCCGGCCGAGGGTGGACCGCTGATGCCTCCGCCCCGGAGCCACTCACCCGGGGGCGGTCCTCCTCCTCTGGAGCGGACCAGAGCCCTGTCCTCTGGAACTCCACCCGCCGAGCGAGCGCACGGTAACTCTGACCAACCGCCCGCGCGACCTCTGCCGGGGGCTCCTCCTCGGACCTCTCCTCCTGCTTGACAGCTGCCGGTGCGGGCGGGGTCTTCGCCCTTACGTGGATGTACTCCGCCTGCCCTGCACCAGGGTGCCCGGCCGCATCCTTGGGCCGATCTGCCTCCGCCTTACTCTGCCGGGCAGCGCCTCGCCCCTCATGCGCCCGCCGGGCGAGCTCCCCTGGTGATGGGGGGGGGCACTCCTCGCTTGGACCTCTGCTGCCGCTCTCCTCACCCTGCTCCTCCGCGGCCTGTGACTCAGATCCCGCAGGGGGGGCGGCCAGCGCAGCGGCGGCTAGCACCCGGGCAGCAGCCGCTGCAATCTCTTGCTTGCGCTCCTGCTTGCGCTTCTTTCCTACGGCTGCGGTCTCTGACGGCCCCTCCCCTTCCGGGGTCGGCTGACCGTGGGGCATCTTCTCGCAATGCCTGAAGTGCTTCGCGCCTCCTTCTGCCCAGCCCGCCCCCTCCGACCGCCCCGCGCACTTGTTGCAG